CTTTTTTCTCTTAATTATGAGTTTGTATCTCACAATTCAAAATTTTGAGAAAAACAAGTCTGAATTGTGAGATATAAACTCAGAATTGTGAGGAAAAATATGTCTGGATTGTGAAATAAATAGTCACAATTTTTTTATTCTGCGGTGGAAACGGTCTTCCATGCTTAAGTGTGTTGCAGTGCATAGAAGTTTCATTCTCAAGCTGCTGCTGGAGTCACACACAGTACAGTCATCTTCATTCCCTTTTGTTAAAGACTCAGCGCAAGTCTCACAGTATCAGAAAACCAACACAATAGAAGCTTTCTCACTGTAACACTGTGCAAGAGAAAAGCTTTATTGTGCACCAGAATAGACACACCAGGCTCTGTGTTCACACGTCACGCTCAACCGGGTTAGTGTTTTGTGTCAGAACAGGCCATTTGATGTAGCTAAACTCCCTTGAGAGGTGCTGACCACATAATGATGTTTACATTCCATGTAATGCATTAGTGCAATACCATCATACAGTACACTTGTAATTTTTTGCATACCTCTGCAGCGTGGATTCAAGAAACCTCAGAAGACCTGGTCTGATCACTATGGGAAAACGGAGCCTTGCTGTACATTCAGTGAAGGCTGAGGAAATGCCTATGGAGTAATCTGATCATGGAGCAATCTGTACTGCCAAGAAACCATTCTTTCTTGGGACTGCACCATTCACAGGACACTAATCTGCCTTTTCATTTGTGAATAAAAATGATTTGTACAGTACATGGCTGTGAGCATTAGCTAATTCTTTTGTTCTTTATGACACTGTATGCATCAAAAACATGGACAAAATTGCCAGTTTAGTCACTGTTGTTTGCTCCTGAGCACAGACCTGTGAGTGTTTGCTTTTACTTATCTGTTTTAAGCCATGTGGGTTGACCAGCAGTGGTCCAGCACACACTCATTCCTGCCCATTCTTGGGTGGTCACTGTCCAGTTTCCTGTTTTGACTGATAACAAGAAGGATTGGAGATCAGATTCACTTTCAGACCTGTAAAAGGACCGTAAATGAAAAAAGTTATTTTGCAAGTACAAGCTTATATTAATATGACTCAACTAAATGCTTAAATTATTTTGTTAGCTCTTGCGTAACTTAGGGTTGGTGTTGTACCACTCGCTTTCCAAGAAAAACAGACATATCCTGAGACTGTAAGCCCACACTGACGTCCTACACATCTGGTTACCATTAAGGTCCACTGACTCAAGTTACTCTCTGCAGGAAACAATCGCACAGCTCAAAGGAACCTTCTGAGGGAGCCTCCCTTTGCCAAAATGCTGCCCGAGTCTCATTTGTTGCTTAATGTGATAGTTCACCCAAAAATGATTAAATTGTTGAGTTGTTAAACCTGTATGACTTTCTTCTTTGCAACAACAACAACAACAAAAAAGAAGATATTTTGAAGACTCTTTCCATATTACAGTTAATGACCACATTTGTCACAGAAATAACAGGTTTGGAATGATATGAGGGTGAGTAAATAATGAACAAATTTTAATTAAACATTGGATTTAGGTTGCCCACACTGACGTCCTACACATCTGGTTACCATTAAGGTCCACTGACTCAAGTTACTCTCTGCAGGAAACAATCGCACAGCTCAAAGGAACCTTCTGAGGGAGCCTCCCTTTGCCAAAATGCTGCCCGAGTCTCATTTGTTGCTTAATGTGATAGTTCACCCAAAAATGATTAAATTGTTGAGTTGTTAAACCTGTATGACTTTCTTCTTTGCAACAACAACAACAACAAAAAAGAAGATATTTTGAAGACTCTTTCCATATTACAGTTAATAACCACATTTGTCACAGAAATAACAGGTTTGGAATGATATGAGGGTGAGTAAATAATGAACTAATTTTAATTAAACATTGGATTTAGGTTATACTCAAAGGATTTGAATCTGAAACCTTAACTTTCGAGGTTTGCCTGTGTCATATGAATTTAACTTAATTTAGAGATTGCAAGTAAATTTATCAAGTGTAATGTATTGCATATCAAGATAATGTGAAGGTAATTTGTCTTAAAGCAACGGAGCAGCAGCAGCAGGTTCTGTTTAAGCTTGGCTTTTATCTGCAGCAGCTGTGTAATTGCCTGCACATGCCCCTTTTTGCTTTAACTATAGTCCAGATTTCCCAGCTGACTGCAGAGAAACTATTTACTTTCAGCACCACCATGTGGCTACAGCAGAAACCATGATTTAAGTTAAACTTCTCTTTCACTGACATATGGCACCATGCAACAATTTTACCTAAATAAATACTATGAATAATAATTAGCCAGAACAACTGTGGCGTTCTGTGGTATATCTTAGTATAAATCACTCAAGACTCAAAAATGTAATGGATAAACAAACGAATAAACAGCAAATCACTGTTTTCGGAATTTCATTTCCCTGATGCACTGAAAAAAAAACTTTTTTAATCAATATTTTTATCTTGTTTTCCAATAAGATATTTGAAATGCACTGTTCTTTATTTAACCATAAATCTAAATATAATTTGCCAGTGGAGTAAAAAAAACCCCGATATATTCTATATTTTCTTAATGTCTCTTTTTTCCTTTTTTATTCTCACATAAATACATCTTATTTTAAGGATGTTCAGATTTATACAAAATACTAAGAGTAGTAGTAGTAATCGTAGTAGTATGGTAATACACTCTAAACAGCATAAACACAAAGAAAATGAAATATCGACAGCATTTAAAAAATAAGGGTAAAGCCTTTTATACATGTTCTGGGTTGTTTAATTTCCTGCCCAAAGTGCCCTATATGCAAAATTTGCCACATCACAGCTTGGCACACCACACAATCACATTGCAAGGAAAGATTCACATTTTGGCAATGTTAGTCTATCTAGATCCCAGCATTTGTGTCCTAGTTTCAGTCCAGTTATAATGGAATGTCAGCAGTGATTGAGAGTGCTTTCCCTGCTCCAGCAGGAAGGATGTGATAGCCTACAGGTTTCCCTTTAGTATTGGGTGAGCTTGCATGTCCTTCCTCAAGTACACATTTACAATACGGCTGAAGCTGCCAGATCTGTACCGTAATTATTACCGAAAGAGGAGTCAATTTTCCTGCAGTGAATAAAGAGAGTGGGTGTTTACGGAGCTAGGAAGAGTTTAGAAGTACCTTTTGTTGTTCTTCCCCGCGAGACTTGACAGAAAAGTTGGCTGTTGACTGCTTTTCCGAATCTGTTCTGTGGCTGCGAGGACAGTCGATAGATAGTATGGATAATATATAAATATTATAAAGGATGAAAAGAGCTTACAGGTGTTCCTTGACGTTTCTGGCACTTTTGTGTATTTTAAAAGGTAAGTTACTTCTCAAATTCATAGTTAAATCCGCTGCACTTTTAAATGTACTTTTTCCACAAATAATGTTTAGTATTGTAAACGTTCACAAGGTGACATTTGCAGAGTGGAAACATTTTCGCAACTTTCGCTTGCTCACGCGTTATGGTTTCAGGTTTATGGTAATATTTTGTACGATTTTCTTGTTCACTTGTTTCTCGTAAACTCACGACTTCACTAAAGTCACTTTAAGGGCTCAATTGTGATAAGACAGTCTGTACAAAGTTCAAAACTGCTTTGTATAGGCCTAACTAAAACTCAAGTCGCTTGTTATATTCTCATTTCAGTATGTGAACTGTGCTCATCTGTTCGAGCAAGTCGTGCTACAAAGTTTGTGGCGGAGGGCGGTAGTCTCCAGTTGAGCTGTGAAGTGCAACACTGTGGGCTTCCTGGATGGACTGGAGGATGGACTTTCCAGGAATCGGACAGAACAAGATTTACTTTCCTCACTCCCTCTGAACGAATCGAGATGTCCAGTTACAGCTCAACAGCCAATAGCACACATCTGTTACTCCACATTCACAACATCAACCAGTCAGATGCTGGAGCATACAAGTGCCTGATATCCTGGCCTCAGAATTTAACTAGCAGTGGACATGTGACATTTGTTAACGTGACTGCAGGTATATACATATGCATGCAGGACAAGCTGTTGGTTTCAAATGATGTTTCAATTGTTGCTTTCCTAATTTCCTTACAATATATTGCTAACAATAAAATCTTTATTTCTGGACAGCAACAGTAGACTCATCAGTCAGAAGCCTCTCTCATAGAGTTCTGCTTTGTTTTGGTGCCTTGATGTGTTTTCCTGTTGTTTTGGGATTTGTTTGGTGTCTCACCCGGGATCCTCATCCCCCACTACCCCCTGTCCCGCCTCACCCCCGCACGTCCTGTAAGAGTCAACTCCATTATTCTGCAAATGTGTCATATATCAATCAACTTATCAATTGTTTTTTATCTTAAATATTTAAAAATTATTATAATAATTTTTTTTGGAATGACTTGTTTTCTTGTTCTAGATGCATCTAGAGTGAAACCAAAAAAGGAAGTAAGTACATCAGTACATTGTGCGTTCTGATAAGAATCCGATTTGTTTAATCAGTGAATATGATCGATTTATTTACTTGTCATTATTTGTGCAGCTGGTGTATGCAGAAGTTGCATTGAATGATTCAAGGCGGCTGAATGATCATCCAAAACAAGCGTCTGAGCCAACGGTCTATTCCTCTGTGCATTTCAACCGAACATAAAGACATCTTGCATTTCTATCTCACTTGTGGCTGTGGGTTATTTTCAATACCAGAGCAAACATGACTGTAAACACTGTGGCAGTACAGTTGAATTGTTAGTCAACAAGATTGAAAAGATATCAACCTGACTTGGGATCCTTTGAAATGTGAATGCTAACAATGTTACACCTTGATTTATTATACAGTGGCTGTAACGCCATACTGAATGGTGGTGTTCTTCCAGAAACACTGTAGGATGTTTGTTTGTGTATGTAGAATGTAAGATTGTACCTGAAATAAAAAGAGATGTATCTGAGCAAACAGAATTGGTGTCATTTTTTAAATGTTTTACACAACAGACAGGTATTTGACACAAAATACATTTTATTTTATAATAAATTCTTAATGGCACATGCCATAACCAAATATACATATACATAATCTTTTAAATAATCTGTTAAATTATTTTAATTTGACTCTGTAATTTTTTTTTTACGTAACATCAACAATTTTTAAAGCAATAAATTATGGCAGTACAAACATATATGCTAACACATTTTATGTCAGAGTTTGTCACTATTGTACAAGAATATTTAACTCGCTCTCTGCAGTCTAATGCCCTCACCATTGAGTACCGCTGAAAAACTAACAGAATCATAAGGAATGAGCAGAGACACACATATGTAAATAAATAACAAAATTTCGAAAGAAAATCCTTCAAAAATTGTTCAAAAATTATTCTGCCAGCCAAAGTTGAATAACGAAGCATTTACAAAAAAGGACCATTTTGTACATCCACAAGTCTGAAATTAAAAAGAACCATGTTTATGTGTCTGTGCTTTCTCAAGTGTGTTTGAGAGTTAAAAATGAAATTTAATGAAGTAAATAATTTCTTTTTCTTTTGGTTCAATTGTGCAAATATATCTGTTCAATAAAGTTAGCAGTATGCCAACCCAGTGTTGAACAAATATACTGAAGTCTTTATTTAGAGAACTAAATATACACTGAAATGAACAGACCAATTTTGCTTTAAAAATATAATAAAATGTGTCTTCGCCATCCATGCAAGGTTATGTTTTTTGTCAAAACCCTTCCCCTTTTACCACAAGTAAACCTTGGCAATCTTCATCTTTGGTTACCCTCGGGAAAGGTGAATTTGACCTTTTCACATCACTCAAAAATAAAAGAACAGACTCAATCCTCAGCAGAGCATAGTTAGTGTACAGTATTTTAAGGCTTACACTGATGGGCGGTGTTACAAGACTCAAAATGACCCGTAATCTCTGCAAAAGACTAAGTACAGTACAGGTGCTTATAATGATACTTTGTAGTCCTTATCTCTTGTAACATTTAATGACTGAGAACTCTTCCAAGTATTTCATGTAGCTGTGATAATATTGAGCATCTGTCTAGAAAGCAATTGCAGTTAGGCAAGAATAGTTTCAACACTTGTTTGAGCACTACATTTACAATGTTGGAAAAACAGAGACGTTTGTTGCTTTTTCTACTAAGACTGGTGTTAATTTCTGTCCTCTAAACCCTTTTTGTGTGTCTGTAGGATCAGTTCTAACAATAGTGTTCAGTTGTGTATTATGTTGAACAGTGATAACTGTCGCAATGGCAAGAGAAAATGGTCCCTTTTTCTTCCAATCTATAAAAATCCATTCAAAGTCACTGCCTAGAAAGACAAAGAACAGACGCACTGAGTAAATTATGTACTGTTAAGAGTGCACAGATTCACTAAAGTACATATAAACTGAGATAGACACTTATTTTCTTTTTGATCTGATACCAAGTACTATGTATAACCACTATTTCTGACTTCAGTATAAATACAGATAGATTTATATTTTTACATTTAGTTTAAGTTTTAGCAATTTGTTATTTTGTTTTGGTAATTTGTATTATTTTTTATATTTCTATTTAGCCTTAATTTGTCTGAATACTTTCCGTACCCACTGTATATATATATATATATCCATTATATATCCATAATTACCATTAAAAGGGGCTAAATCGGAAATGACACGAATCATTTATTGTGTTTATTTGTTAACAACATTATAGAACACATTTCAGTATTTCTACTTGTTCTGATGAGTAAAATGAGAACTAGTTCTTTCTATTCTTTCCATATATACTATACTTACTACAAAAATCTTTTTTTTTTCACTTCAAATTTTTGATCCACATTAATTTTTATGCTAAATAATTAAAAGGTTATAAAATGAGTACTAAGAAAAACTTTAGATTTATATTTTTATGCAAGATTGTATTTCAAGATGCATCTGTCCATACCTAGCTTAAAGACATGTAATTACTGTAAAATGCAAAGTACCTGTTGTCCATGCAGTGGCTTCTGTCTGACCTAATGACCCTGAAAGAAAGAGGAAGGATTATTTTTAGTGAATGAATTCTAATCTCATTATTCAGTTTACAAATAGAATCAAATGCACTGTTACAGACTTAAAACAACAAATGCATTTTTACTATAAAACCCTACAAATGCATTTTTACTATAAAACCCTGAGTAACATACGCACTGTTACCATTTCAACATTGTCATTGTCATTAATCTGATCTAACATAAAACAACCGAATTTGAAACCAATTTCAAAATACGCCCAGTCAATATTAAAAGATATTTGAGGATACAGTACTTACTGTGGAGTGGCTCAGTTTGTCAAAGCGGAATTTCAAGTTTGACCTCGGTGAAGTTTTGCTCTTTCCATCTAAGGAAAACACTGGGTGAGTTCTTGTTTTTTGTTAAAGTGCCAAAGTGCAAGCATGTGTGTGCATGCAAGTATACTCATGTTTATGCACATCTCATAGCTACAAATATGTGGACACCACCTTGTCAGACTATTTCAACAATCATCAATTTCCTATTAATGGTTTTAATGAGAAATGTTCAACAAGCATATATGGGTCGGGTTTTCAGGTTTTAGTGTATGATTGCTTTATTTTTTATTTCAGTTTTAATTTGAGTACTTAAAGGAACACGCAACTATTTTTGAAAATTGGCTAATTTTCCATCTCCCCTAGAGTTAAACAGTTGAGTTTTACCGTTTTCGA